TATTCCACCATCTGCTTGACCAACTATCCTTCCTCTAACAAAATCTGACAATTCGAGAGAACCTTGAGTTATAGGCATGTTGTAGCACAAGATAATTAGTGTGTAGACCATTTTCATTTATATAGTGCTCTGTGAACACAAATTAGTTAGCATAAATCAGTTAAATGACGAAAAATTAGGTAGCTATTTACCTGTGACCACTCAATGCACATATTGCGAATCGTGGTGTGTATCAGAGCGTTCGTCTGTCTCCCGTTTGAAAAGCTGCGCACGCAAGTAAAACTCAACATTCACTTTTGAAATGATGGGAGAATAGGTACGAATAATTGTTTGTTTTGTTTGTTTGTGCTCTGCCCACCACGGGTATTGAAACCCGGATTCTAGCGTTCAAGTCCGCAGACATACCGCTGTGCCACTGGGGGGCAGGTACGAATAATGTTGATGCATAATGTTATTTTTCAAGCAGGATATTCTACTATCATGTAACACAATCAACCCTTTTAAAGTCCATGAAATAATTTAAGCAAGCAAAAGTGCCCGTCCTCAGTGACAAGAAAAGTTTAAGTTATTGTAGCAAAAGTACCTATCTCCAGTGACGGGAAAAGTTTAATTAATCTATCAATTTAAATGATTTTATGGACCTTGAAAAATATTAATTGTGTTGCACTCATGATTTCAGTCAGAGCCAAAGCTCTGAGCTACTTATACCACTCACCACCAAAAAATAATTGTTGAGCATTTCAGTGATGCAAAGAACCGTTCAACAATAACATACAGTAAATGTACATTTTCATTCTTAAACTTACGTCACATTTTGAAATGTTAATGATAGTGTGATTGATTCCTAACTGTTTAGCGTAGAATATACTGCTTGAAAAATAAAATTTAGCATCATCGTTATTCGTGCCTGTTCTCCCATCATTTCAAAAGTGAATGTTGACCTTTGCCTGTTTGCGCAGCTTTTCAAACGGGAGATAGACGAACGCTCGGACAGACACTATGGTACGCAATATATATATATAAGAGTGCTAGATTAACTTAAACATTTTCCGTCACTGGGGACGGGTACTTTTCCTTGTGTTCTTAATAAAGTACATGAGCTTCTTAAAGAAAATGTTAGTCTAAAGACTGGACTGACTTATTTCTCCTCATTGACAGCATGCTATGTCACCTTGCACAGTTTATTATAGTAAGAGGAGGACCAAACAAGTACTGAATTTTTAACATGAACTAATATAAGGTTACAAACGCTATGTATAATAATTTGATGTTAAATTTCGTCATTTTATGTGTTTTGGTAAGGTTTTGTTTTCATTGGTGAAATGTTAAATTACGTATCTTTCTACAGGTGTTTAATAAAATTGTTTGCTGTTCATGATATCAATAGAACCTGTTTCATTATAGAAATCAAGACACACAGTAATGTGTCTTGCAGCCAAACCAGCCTGCTATATAACACACAATGTACTATTAACAGGAGTGATAGTTTAACAATTTTCTACCTTCTGTATCTCGGACTGTGGTAAACTAAACTATCACATATCACGTAGAAGTGCTCTATTGGACTTTTATTTCACATACCAAAGTTCAAGACAATCATATAAGAAATACCTAAGATATAATATCTCCAATTTTGATTGAGTTTCTTCCTATTTTTTTTTTCTTCGCACCAAAAGTAAGGAACTTTATTTGATAGAAAAACATACATAACTCTTTTGAATTTTTTTCAAACTTGGTACACTGATAGATCTTTTCAATCTAAAATTAGGAGTCTCATTTGGTGTAATTATAAGCCACATGCGCAAAGTTATTCAACAAAAACCGCTCAAATTTAACACAAATTTTGCGCACACCTACGCAAAAAGTCACGTGAGCTGTGAGCTATCGGTCTAACATTTTTACTACAGCTTCACCAAAGAATAAAAGTAGACTGTTTTTAGTTTTTTTTGTCATTTGAATTAAAGACGACTGCTTTAGAGCAGTAAAATTATAAGGTGAACGGGCGTGCAGATACATAAGTATTGGTTAGGCCAAGCAAACTAGATTAATAGTTTCTAGCTCAAGTTTTTAAAAAAAATCTTACGGGCAGACGGTTATCATTCATTATTCATTGCCAACTTTTAAGCACAAATTTAATAGCTTTTATGAAATTATCCTAATTAAAGAGCGTTTAGCGTCATTTGATATTAGCTTAAGTAATTAGCATAAATAATGATGCTTGATACGGCTGTCCCGACTGCTTGGGGTGATGACAAGAAACTGTTGATCTAAATTCCATGACGTTTCTATAAAGGAACTACCACCATACATTTTACAGAATCTGCTTGATTCTCTAAAGTAAAGGTCTATTCCGAATAATAGGGTTGCGATCCTAAGCTAATGTGGGTTACTATCGAGTGTCACTTTTGTTTGTTTGTTATGAATTTTGCGCAAAGCTACACGGGGACTATTTGCGCTAGTCGTCCCTAATTTAGCAGTGTAAGACTAGAGGGAAGGCAGCTAGTCATCACTACCCACCGTCAACTCTTGGGCTTCTCTTTTACCAACAAATAGTGGGCTTGACCGTCACATTATAACGCCCCCACGGCTGAAAGGGCGAGCATGTTTGGTGTGACGGGGATTCGAACCCGCGACACGCAGATTGCGAGTCGAGCGCCCTAACCACCTGGCCATGCCGGCGGGTCTCGAATGCCACTTTCTTACTTGCTGTGTTTTGTTGGTGTGTATTGATAAAAAGTCAGGATATCTAATCAGAAACATCTAAGATGAGGACAAAAAGTTGCGGCCAAAAAGGGCTGAGTGTGCGACTTAAAGGAATGAAATCAAAATTGGCGGCCAAACTATTAGCTACACTTATAGCATTGATAATAATTTTACAGCAACTATTGTTTCATTAGTTAGCTAGGCCGCGTATTTTTTTTTTTACCCACCATCATGCCACAATCCTTTTTGGCCGCACCTTTTTTCACACCTAAGGTGTTTTTGATTACATTACACCTGTAAATGTTTAATATAACTTTCATTTCTCAGTTTGACAGCGCTAAGTGTATATGTATTTCATCTTAAATAATAATGATCTTATTTGTTGCAAAATATGCAAACATTTTGGCCAGGACTGTGCCTAGTTATCAAATAAACCGTTCATCTTGATACTTTTGTGGTTGAAAAACAACTGGTTCTTATTGAAAATAATGATTTTTTAAAAAATAAATGTTACTTTTTTCCAGCTTTTTAGACGACTTTTCCTGCTACTATTGTATCTGGTGACTTTCCTACTACTATTGTATCTGGTGACTTTCCTGCTACTATTGTATCTGGTGGCTTTCCTGCTACTATTGTAGTCTTTGGTGGCTTGATATAGTTCTGTACCCTTGAATCTTCACACAGTCCTGATGAGTGTTAAAAGCGAGCACAACAAGACCAATGTCATTATTCAGAATAGGTGAGTATCTGAGTTATGACATGCGCTGTTTGATTCTTATAAAAATAAATATATTAAAAAAATTGTTATTCTATGTTCATATATTACGAAATAGAAAAAAAAATGTTTAATTTAATTATAGTTCCCTATAGTAAATTGATAATTTATCACGATGAACTGGTATAGCTATATGATAATGTATAGTTCTTTAAGTAAGCTTATAGTACTTTTATATTGAATATATATATATATATATACGTAAAGCAATAACAAGCGACCCCCCCCCCGGAGATTCTTCTGGCTATATCACTAAGTTATCACACACAGCAGCATCTTTCTACTCATTTGGACCATTTACTTCTGGGTTCCAATCATCCTCACTAATTATCTTTTAGCTTTGACTTAAACTTAATTATTATTTCAGTAGCCCTCTAATTTATTTATGTTGATAATGTTAATGTTGCTTCTAACCAGTGAATACAAGTTAAATGACATAATATTGAATGTGAGAAAGTCAACAGATTCCACCTTTTATGGCTATGGATAATAATAACATACACTTTTATACTGTGTATCAGAAACTTATAACAAAATAGTATTATCATATATCACGTGATGACAATGAAACGATTTATATCGTTGCGTATCACCTAGGCGTGGCCTTGTGATTATCGTAATCGAACTGTGAATATGGTTCACTCCCACTATTCGGCCAGACAAGAGTAGCCCAAGAGTTGGCTGGAGGTGTTATTGGCTAGCTGTCTTACTTATAGTCTGTCAGTTAAAAATTAAAGACGGTTATACGCAGCTAGCCCTTGGGTAGATTAGCGCGAAAATTCTGAAAGAAAAAAAAAGGTGTTTTACACCTCATGTTGTCAACAATTCGTCTTGTATAAGTTCATATTCTTTCGGCTCGGGTATAAAAGTTGAAGATGCTGTATATATATATATATATATATATAAGCCACTCTCTGTTCGTAACGTTCCCTTTGTTGGTAACCTTCCAAGTCGATTAGTGGTTTGTCTCGAGCAGAAGTCTCGCGTTTAAATCCCAGTTTAGGGGGAATTTTTATAACTTTTTCAAATCATTAACTCATCGTGTTTAGAGCAAGATCACACAATACTGGGAAAAACCAGATTAACATGATAGTTTAAATTAGATATTTAAAATTATTGGTTAAAATTCGATTACAAAAACTGGGTGTAATTGTAGTTATAATGTTCCACTATTGTGTGGAAGCCTCCGTTCAAATCCCAGTCTACTCGGGATTTTAAGTTATTTTTGAATATTTATTGTCATACGTACAGCAAGAGCTGTGAATATTCATAAAAATACGAATATCACTATAGATAAAATCAGTAATCACCATATAAACACCAGTGTCTGTCTGTGTCAAACACTATTTAGATATCTTTTCAACCCAACAGATGGCGATGCAATACATTATCATTGATGTTTTTCAACTTTGGTAAGAGATTTTTTTTAAATTTAGGCAAAAGTTATACCTTCGTGCATTTGCCTTTTACACTCAAATTTATTGCCTTTGCCATCACAATTAATAAATCGCAGGGTCAGACATTTGACTACGTAGGAATATTTCTTAAAGAACCAGTTTCTTCGCATTGTTCAATCTATAAGACTTTATCGATAAGCGGATCTTAACTAAACATAAACATATACGTAAGTAAAAATTGTATTCAAGGACCATTTACAGGAGATCAAATCGACACAAAAAATGTTTTCTTGAAATGCTAGAAAAAGAATAAACATTCTTTATACATATATTGTTACTAGAATATAATAAATTTTTAGAAAACATGTTCATAAAACATTTATTTATAAAGTTAATTTTCAGGATAAATTGAATCAGAACTTACCATCATATGACGGGCATTCAGTTAGTCTAATATGACACGATGGGCATCTCATTTAAGGCTAACTGAATCTGGCTCGTGATGTATTTATTTACTGCTTCTGTAAAGAAAAAATATATGCGAGCAAGTTTAAGAACATTAAGAAATACTGGCACGAAGCAAGTTTCAAATAAACATAAATAATATGTTAACAGAAACATATAAAAAAAAGCCCAACACTCATTATTGTACAAGTTCGTTTTATTACTCTGCATAAAACAAGCAAAATAACAAAGTGAAAGAAATATGAAAAAATAAAAAATGCTTCTATTAAATAAAAGTTATCTATAGGCAGTGAAAACTGTGTTTGCTATATCTGTACAGTTCTTTTCCAGCGAGCATATATTCTATAAACACACTCAAATATTTCAACAATATCAATCACAAGAACGTACAAGCGCTTGGATACTGTAAATGCTTGGATAGCATTTGTTAAATTTGAAAAGCACATAAACTCAATGAAATACACACACACACTCAAAGATTAATTTTGGTAACTTTGAACTGAGAATGAACAAACAAAAATGTTTTGGCCTCATTCAATGTTATCAAGCGAATCCGGAAGCGTACAGCAATTCTTCTGATTACTTTGTAATACAATTTTAGTGTGAAGCCCAAAGATTAACAAATGTTTTGTAAACACTCTCCAAACTTTTTTACCTATAAAAAAATCGGGAATAGAATTTAGCATTTAGTATTTTTTTATGAGTAATAGTGTTCATCCTGGGATTAGCACACAAAAATGTACCAAATACATTTTAATGAAGCTATATATTATTTCAACACGTGCAATGTTTAGATAGTTTATTCATTACTAGCTGAGTTACTCGGCGTTGTACGGTGAAAACTTCGATTTTAAATGTATAGATCGTATTTTTCAGTAAATTATTCGGTAAGTAGACAAAAGCTGTAATTCGAGAAATAAAAAAGCATTTAATCAAACAAAGCTTTATTTGAAATTAGAATTTACAATACTTCTTTATATACAACATTGCATGTTTTTCCAAAAGGAGAGTATACATAAAGATTGTTAGCTGTTCCTGCTCTAGAACATCCTACATACAGTTGACCATGAGAGAAGTAGTCTTCTTGTAATTGTAGCCCAACAACTTTCACTGTCTGTCTTTGTGATTTGTTGATCGACATGACAAAACTTAATCTTACTGGAAATTGTAAGCGCCTAAACTGAAACGGCATCTCTGATGTTATTAGATGTATCCTAGGAACAAAAGTATTTTCACTCTTGCCACAACCAGTTTGTATTTGTGCTTCAATGACATGAGGCTGTAATGCCTTTATTATTAATCTGGTACCATTGCAGAGCTTAGACTGATCTAAATTTGGTAAAAGCATTATAGGAGTTCCAACTTTAAGTTGTAGTTGGTGAGGAGGCAATCCTGGAAATTCCAAAGAATTTAGAAACTCCGTTGGATAGTTGACAACTTCATTTTGATCGATAACTGTATCAATTGATTTGTAAATATAAGGATTCCCTGGAATATTCTGGAGTAGTTGTTGGTTGATAGAATTAACTGTCACATTTTTCGGTGCCAATATTGCTCTTTCACACAACCAAGTGAAGTCGTTGTAGTGATAATTAAAGTTAGTAAATACTTTTCCTGTTAATTCATTAACACTTTGGACCACTGTGCTGATTGTAGATGTAATGACTTTGTTGTCATGGTCCACAGGAACTTTTCCTTCGCCAAGCTGTAGCAAGTTTTGAGCAAATAGACCCGAATTGCGATCACCATAAATTCTTGCTCGCATGTTGGTTGTAAGCTTCAAAGTTTTAACATTGTGCCACAAACAGGAAGATTTAAGGCATGCTCGAAATTCATCAGCTTTTGTTCCCTTAGGTATAACTGGCAGAGTCTGGCAAAAATCTCCTGATAAGACAACAGTTACACCGCCCAT